AAGTTATAAGTGTTTTAAATATATACAGTGATAAATATTACGTCACTGAGAATTATAAACAATAGTCGCATATTCCATAAGTATATAGCAATCTTTAAAAAATATATTTGCAAAGACATTAGTGTAATTTACTTTTCCTTAGTTCTTAACAAAAGATATCTCTTTTAAAAATTCCAACTCATTAAATTCACCAATTGTTACGAAATTTTAACTGTTTAACATGTTACAAAATATAAGAAAGTGTAGTATTAACTTCATGATAAATTGCTTTATTAATTAAATGTATCCAAAAGGTGAACATCCTAAGGAAATCCATCATCATCTTCCTCTGCCATTTCCTTAGCAAGTTCTAAATCCTGTTGTTCCCTTTCTCTACGTTCTTCTGCTGATTCTAGATCTTTTCCATATGATTTTGGAGGATATCTCATGGCCTTAACACTCTGGTTATGTAAATCTAAGCAGAATGTAATTCTCTGATGAAATGCGAGCAGCGGCTCTTTAGTGCAATAAATGTCGGTAGTTTCTTTGCTGCGCATGTATCCGTTTTCCGGTTCCAAAGTGGCTTCAATTACTCCGTCTCTGATAGCTTTAGCTACAATAAATTCGGCATCAACGCTTGAATCTAAACCTAGTTTCTTTGCGATGTATGCAGGAGAAATTCTGGAATAGGAGAGTCCAATCGATCTTATTGCAGTCTTAATAACGTTATGTCTCAATCTAAGAATCAGAGTAAACGTATGATCGCTTCTAAACTGTGGACCAAAGTTCTCTAAAACTTCACCAAAACGTTGTAGATTTCCCAAACGCACTGCTTGCGTTAATTGAAAGTATGGAGCCAATGCACGACGCATCGCTGCTTGTCGGAAAGTTTGTCGTTCAGGGATATCCCCAAGTAGAAGTTCTACCGTTACAGCTAACTTCTGAACTGTTTGACGGAAACCAACTGCAGTACTTTGAGGAGCTTTTCTAAGAGCCTGCAAAAAAAGACAAAGTAAAAATTATAGAAATTATAAAATACGATTGACTAAGATAATGACAATAGTATGAAGATATAACACACCTGTACCAAGTACTTGTGTGCAGCAGAGTACTCTAATCTGGCTGCTTTTATACGTCCTAGATAGTATAAAAATCTGGCCCATTCATTGTTGCTTGCAGACTCTGGAAACGTTGACTTAAGTACAAGCTTATCTGCTTGATCGTATAAGTTATAATGCAAGTAATTTCTTAACAAGCAATTAATCAGTACTGCTTGTCCTTCAAAATCATTTCTCAATGTTGCAGTTCTTAATCTCAGGTGCAACAGCCCTCGAATTTTATCCAATCTACCAACTAGCTCATATGCTCTCGAATAATAGAAATAACATTTTGCAGCAATCAAATCGATTGTACGTCTATTCTGTGCAATAATCTTTTGTAACAATTCTTCAGAACACTGAACTGCTTGCTCGTATCTTCCAGTGTCTATTAAACGCATGAGAACGAGTAAAAGAATGTAAGCATCAATTTCTGGTAATGAACTCAAAGCGGTAGGACGAACTTTTTGAATTTCTTCTATTTCAGCAGATTCTTCTAATCTTGATAATAATGCATCACGTTCTGAACATGGTTTTAAATAGAAACTTACAATCGTTGAATGCAAAACATTAAAGTTTAACCTACGACGAGTATTGGGTAGTGAACGCAATACTCTTAAAATGAAACGAGGTTCTTTGCTCTGCACAGCTTTCTCTATCTGACGAGCGTGTTCACGAATATCATGAATTGTTTGAAGATCAATATCTTTCTTGTCGATGACATCTCCATCACCATTTTGACTTTCTGAAGAAACTATGTCTATATCCATAGCTTCAGGGTTTTTGGCTGCAGGCACTACCATCTTGACCAATCTGGAAAAATGATACAGAAAAATAAGATAAATACTGGTTCAGAAAAAAGATATAGTTAAGCAGAAATATGGTAGACTAAATTAATAATACCTAGTACTACATGACAAAAGCTTTCTTAAATAATTCAGACTTAAATTCTATAATCCGAAATTTCTGCCTTTCAGTTGAAAAATTTTACGCTTTCCTGATTTACTGATTTTATATGTAGTAATTTTATGTATTTACTGCCTGAAAGCACAGTAATTAAAATTTACCTTCGTTCCAAAGCTTTTTAGAGCACGACTTCTCTGAATAACTACAATTTTACGTTTTCATCAAACCGATTCACAGTTGTGCAGACTAACTAATAAAGTCAACAGAACGACTTAATATGTTCCTATGTACGTATGTACTAGGGTATTATGTTATTTTTCTGGGAAATTTTAATGCACAATACAATACCTTAGAACTCTGAGTGAAACGCTACAGAGCATAAACACTATTTATATTTAACTCGTGACTTAAACGTACATACAATTTATATCCAAACACAATTAGTTCAGTAAATGCAACTGCAGGTTGCAGTTATGTACAGGGTGTTCTAGAACTGCTGTTACACCCGAAATAAGTAGAATTACATCATTTCTCGGAAGTGGACCCAGTAGTGGGTCCTATACCTGCACACTTTTCTTGCTCCCTAAATTATCCTGTCTTAACAGTGGAACGTCAGCCAATCAGAGCGAAACTATTTTTATACCTACTCTTGCTATCAGAGTGCGCTGCAGCCAGAGTGCGCTCCACCACGAAAAGCACTGAAATCGCACTGGACCTAGCAACACCTTACAATATATATGAGTTTAAAAACGCGGGAAAATAATTTGTAGAAGCCAGTAGAAGCGTTCCTGAATTTTACAGACAGTTTGGAAATTTGTATAAAATAATGTCGAGTCCTGCCAGATCATCAGTGACAAACGATAGCCCGAATAGAACTCCTAGAAGACAGGGGCAAGGTTCTAGATCTCCTTCTGTTTTTGGAACGCCCCGTAAGTTTCTTACTTAAAGGTTACTGCTATAATTATTCCATTATAGTTTTCCAATTTACATTTTATATTATTATCTATATATGTACATTATTAATTTTGAATATAAGGTGCTGCAACTCGCAGTGGAGCTGAAAATAATGTGGAAACTCCTTTACGATGGGGCACCACTGGTGCACAACGAAATGTACCAACTCAGAACCGGACTGCTACAATTGTTGCTTCTTCCGAGCATGATAGTGCCGCTGGTTCTGGTGATCATTCAGGACAAATTATTGGATCGGAAAGTGGTTTGCAATTGTCATCACCAGTAAATTATGGTACTCCTAGTTCTCTAGGATCAATTCGTACACCAAGAAGTGGAATTCGAGGCACTCCGATTAGGCATAGACCTGATATTAATACAGACAAACGTTTACGTCAATTTTCAATACAAGAACCAGTAAGTAGCTAACAATAAATAACAGTAGTTTATTTTAGTTAGTTTCTAAAAATTGTATAATTAGATGACAATTTAGATACTCTAGTACTAATAATTTCATTATTAACAGATTCCAGAAGTTCCAAATGTACCAGGAACATCAGAAAGTGACACAGCTGGGCCTCACTTAGTTGTATGGGGAACAAATGTAGTCATAAATCAATGTAAAGAGCAGTTCAAATTGTTTTTTCAAGAATTTATCGATCCAGAAGCCGAAAATGATGAACTACCAGAAAATATGAATTTATCAGAACCCTTATATGTTCAGAAGTTAGAAGAAATACATACCTTGGAAGAACCATACTTGAATGTAAACTGTGCTCATGTAAAATCTTTTGATCTGCATCTTTATCAGCAATTAGTTTCTTATCCACAAGAGGTAATACCAACTCTAGACATGGCAGCAAATGAGTTATTTTTTGAGAAATTCCCAGCAGCTGTCTTGGAGCATCAAATTCAAGTGCGACCTTTCAATGTGGCTAAGATTAAGTCCATGAGAGATTTAAATCCTTCTGACGTTGATCAGTTAATTACTGTACCAGGAATGGTGATTAGAGTATCGAGACTGATTCCACAAATGCGAGAAGCCTACTTTAAATGTAGCGTTTGCGCATTTACAACTCTAGTTGAAATTGAAAAAGGAAAAACAAAAGAACCAACAGTATGCGGATCTTGTTCACATAAATATTCCTTTACATTGATACATAATCTCAGTCATTTTTCTGATAAACAAATGATTAAATTGCAAGAGGCTCCAGATGAGATGCCACAAGGTCAGACTCCACATACTACCATTGTATTCGCCCACAATAATTTAGTAGATGCTGTGATGCCTGGAGATAGAGTCTCTGCTACCGGAATTTATAGAGCAGCTACACATAAATCAAATTTTGAACATAATTTCCAAGCCATTTACAGAACATATATCGATGTAGTTCATTTTAGAAAACATGATTCTAAACGGTGAGAAAAAAATAACTTAAGTATTTTTCAAATCTTTCCTTTTCTGACGTTTTCTTTTGCACAATATAGACTGTACGATCAAGAAGATGGTAAAGAACATAATTTCGCCCCAGAAAGAATAGATCTTTTGAAAGCATTATCACAGAAAGAAGATATATATGAGCGATTATCAAGACACATTGCACCCAGCATATATGCAAATAATGATGTAAAAAAGGGCATTATATTACAATTATTTGGTGGAACTAGGAAATCTTCTACGATATATGGAAAACATTTTCGACCTGATATTAATATATTGCTCTGCGGTGATCCTGGTACAAGCAAGTCACAATTACTTCAATATGTTTATAATTTGGTTCCAAGGTCTCAGTATACCAGTGGAAAAGGTAAAATTGTACATATCATAGGTTTAATTTGTATGAAACATTAATTAAAACAGATGATAAATATTGTAGGCTCCAGTGCTGTTGGTTTAACTGCTTACGTCACAAAAGATCCAGAGACAGGACAATTAATATTGCAGACAGGTGCACTGGGACTTGCAGATAATGGAATATGTTGTATTGACGAATTTGATAAAATGAGTGAGAGTGCCAGATCAGTATTACACGAAGTAATGGAACAGCAAACTTTGAGCATAGCTAAAGCTGGCATTATTTGTCAATTAAATGCTAGAACCAGTATACTTGCAGCAGCCAATCCAAGTGAATCTCAATGGAACAAAAATAAAACTGTATTAAATTTAACAAAATTACTTTACTTTAAATATGTGTTATATAAACATATATTATATGTATATACTTTCTCTTCTAGGTGGTTGAAAATGTAAAATTACCCCACACTTTACTTTCTCGCTTCGATTTAATATTTTTAATGTTGGATCCACAAAATGATGCATATGATAGTAAACTTGCAACACACATGGTATCCTTATATTATAAAAGTCTCGATGAAGATGAAGATGAAGAACTACATAGAAGCATTGTTCGTGACTATATAGTCTATGCAAAAGAGCATGTTCAACCTATTCTCAATGAAGAAAGTCAGCAGAGATTGATACAAGCTTATGTTGATATGAGAAGAGTTGGGAAAGGTCGTGGACAAATAACAGCATATCCAAGGCAATTAGAATCTTTGATAAGATTGTCTGAAGCACATGCAAAATTACGATTGAGTCCTATTGTAGAATTACCAGATGTTGAAGAAGCTTGGAGGTATATAAAGGATACGAAGTTAATGAAAATAACAATAAATTACATTACATTTACATATTTAATTTATTTCATAGATTGCACAGAGAAGCGCTGAAGCAATCCGCCATTGACCCACTAAGTGGTAAAATAGACATTTCTATTCTAACTACTGGCATATCCTCTATAGCCAGGAAAAAGAAGAAGGAATTGTGTGACGCAATCCAAAAAATTATTGAAAGCAAGGATAAAGTACACGTACTTAATCAACAGAAACTTTTTGCTGAACTTAAACAATCTTCTGAACTGGTTAGTAAAAATTGATATCCTATTTTATATGAATTTCAATCTGACTATAGTACAAATAATACTAACATCAATATTTTTTATTAGATGATTACTAGAGACATGTTTGAAGATGCTTTACGGGAGCTACAAGACAATGGATTAATAACAGTAATTGGAAGAAGCAACATTCGCATATCGTAATTTTGGATACGTTAGATATTTTTCATTATTTTTATACATATTTTAAGAATCAAGCCAATCAATTATTGGAAGTGTTGAACACGTCATTAAAAAAAAAATAAAAGATACGTATTTTAACATAATTTGAGGTTATCTACTTTTACTAATTATTATTATTACTACTCTCTTTTACTAATTTAATTTTTGTTATCTAACATAGTTTTATTTTCAAAACATTATTAAAGTATATTTACGACGTATATGTTGTAAACATATTATAGAATTAAAGAAAAGTTCCCTTTATTAACTAAAAGGTTATTCATTGTAAAAAAAAAATAAAAATGCTGCTAGATCTTGTTTATTTATATGATTTCTTTTATTTTAAAAATTTGCACATACCATGCTCCAGAAGTATCGTGTCGTGTCGCAAAAAGTATCGTGTACTTTTGGAAAAGTATTTAAATCGACTGATTGCGCGCTCTACCTTCCACAGATGCTTCCGAATTGTATTCCCTTAGGGGAATCCCCTACGTCTTCAAAGGATAATATAGTTTGTTGGTATCTCTGTGAGATAGAGCGTACATGGTCGATTTGAATACTTTTCCTAGCAATTCGTGAATGGTTAGATGTTAGTAGATTCGATCAGGTTGGCAACAATGTGGCAGCGTTCGGCATGCATTCGATTCTCGATTGTGTTTTTGAACTCGGATGTTGTCAATCAAGATTTTGTAAACACGTGTTTTATTTATCCACGAGTGAAGAAATAATTTATACAAAATGGTTCATCTGGATTCAAACGTCTCAGATCCCTTCGAAATAGTTGTAGGAACGTATGAGCATTATCTGGTTGGTTATAAAGTGAACAATGATGTCAATGTAAGTGTACAGTGTTCTCAATGTTATTTTTCAGGTTATATTGTTTAGTACAATGCGTAATTTTTACAGCATAATTCAGGCAATTTGTTTTGCGCCCGAATTTTTTATTAAATAATTTATTGATGTTTTTGCAGACGTATAAAATAGAAAGAACTTTTGCAACGCACAGCCATTTAGCCAGTGTGCGTAGCCTCGATACTAAGAAACATTATTTAGCTTCTGGAGGTGCAGATGATTCAATTTGTTTATACGATATGAACCAAAGAATAGAGTGTGGTAAACTTGTACACCATAATGGTAGGTAGAAATAATAAATAACATAATTTATTTTTAAGATAATTCTATTTACCTTTTTTTTTGTACTTTTTCGTAGACACAGTAAATTGTGTCACATTCACTCCAGAAGCGTCTCACATAATTACATGTAGCAATGATGGTAGCATAGCTGTGATTCGATGTGGTAACTGGCAAATTGAAAAACACTGGAAAACGGCACATAAAGGGTTAGCTGTGAACGCTATAGCTGTTCACCCTACAGGAAAGTTTGCTTTATCTACTGGGGCAGATGGCATTCTCAGAACTTGGAATCTAGTGAAAGGGAGACGAGCATATGCAATTAACTTAACGCCAAGAATGAAACTAGACGCACGCAATGTGACAGTTTTAAAATTTTGTCCGAATGGTGAAAAGTATTTGTTAGCTGTTAATCAACGAATTGATATATATTCCGTGGAATCGGCAGGAATTGATAATGAGATCATGTTGGATGCAAAGATTGTTTGCGTAGAATTCCTGAAGGATGATTTAATAGCTGTAGGATTAGAAAATGGTCAAATCAAATTTTACGATCTTAAAAAGTCGAAACAGACTGTAGAAGTGGTAGCTCACGATATTAGAGTAAAGTGTATAAGTTTTGTTGGTGATTTATTGGTCACTGCTTCTAGTTCCGGCGAGATTAAACTTTGGAGATACAGTAAAAATAGCTTAGACATGTTGCAGAGTGTGAACTGTGGTGCCAGAATTACGTGTTTAACTTTGGCGCTCAATTGCAATAACTTTGATCATGATAAAGAAGTCAAATTGGAAGAAGAGAAAGAAGAAGTTCAGAGAAAGACGTTCAGACTGCGTCAAGAAGTCGTTATTGAGCAGGAAGGTGATTGGGAGATAACATCAATTAATGAAACAGAATCGATTAACAAGAAGAAGAAGAAGAAGAGAAAAGTGGATGTCCAGGATATTGATAAAAAAAGAAAGAAATTGTTAAAGCAGAAGAGGAAAAATGAAAACGCGGATGAGGCAGATAACCAGAAAGACGCTGATGTGCCAAAGAAGAAAAAGAGAATAACGAACAAACACGTTGAGGAAGAGAAAAGGAAAAAGAAAAAAAAGAGGCAACAAGGTATTAAAAGTATCGAAAAAATGAGTAGCAGTCCGTCCGCGAAAAGAGTAAAGAAAACAAGAACGAATCGTACGGATTTCCGATAATTGTTCTGTGATCAATAATTTAAGCGAACACCATTGTTTTGTATTGTTCACCACAAAACGCACTTGTCGACTGGGTTCATCGGACTTCCGATCGGACAGTTCCACGCATTTGCGAAATCCGCGTTGTTCGACAGAGTACCGATAACTCTGAAATGATTCGGCGCGTGTACTCCTCCTATCAGTTTCAATTTTAATGCGCCGTTAGTGTAATTGCCGCACCATACCTGTAAGTTAGAGATACACGTGTGTATATGTGTATATATGTGTATATACATTGGTTTCGTCCAGTTTGATTTATGTTAATATAAGATATTCCGAACATATTTTTCAGAAGATGTTAAAAAATAAAATATGAAGAGAAAAAAATTAAACGAATGTAGCGTAATTTGAATGTTGATTAAATGTTCGCGAAGTGATCTCTACTATTTTCTTTTTTATTTCATGTTTAAGACACTTGCGAACATTAAACCAGCATTACCATAATCGTCACGAAAAAAACCTACTTGCGCGAAACCTAAGAAAAAAAGTTGATCTCGGCTATATTCAGCTAAGCCGGGCAAAATTTCTTGGACGCCTGATCGCGCTTCGTGTTTCCGATACGCCCTGTAAGCTTCGCGTATGCCGCCGTTGTCCGCGATGTTCTCTCCTTGCGTAGTCACACCGTTTACCTGAAAAGCAAAACCCGGAGAGACTCTCGTTATCGGCGACGAGCCTTGGTACAGATTTTCCTCAGTTTCCATCATGCTCGATACTCGCCGTTAAATCATTGTCCAGCTCTGGAAACCGGTAGTTACCGTACTGCTTAATTATGCACTCGACTTTCTTTTGATAATGTTGCAACGTCTCCTCGCTCCACCACTGTTTCAAATTTCCGGCCCCGTCGTATCTACGACCTTACGGGACAAAAATCAGTGAAATCGCCGGAATTATGAGTTACGCGTCAATTTACTGATGTTGACGTAAGCGATCCGCGATTAACGCACGGATTACCTTGATCGTCGAATCCATGCGTCAGCTCGTGACCCATGATCGCACCCATTGCCCCGTAGTTGATAGATCTACGAACACACATATATATATAATAATAATAATAATAATAATATATAATATAATATAATAATAATAATATAATAAATATATATGTATATATATATATATATTTATAAATAAATATAACATTAATAAACTTTCTGGCTTGATCAAGTAATCAATCCTTTGCACTCAGGATAATGATTGTTACAATTTGTTATCTTGATAAAACTATTAATTAACAGCAGTCATGTTAGGCTCCCTAAGAGCGGGACATCCGAGTGCAAAGAGTTAAAACTTAATCGATATCGGTATACGTATACGTACTCTAGACCGTTCCCATAAAACGGGGGATGTAAGATGCCGGCTGGGAAAGCTGTAAGCAATAACGGAACGTGACAATCAAAACGTACAAACGGCTTTTACACCGTATTTTATGGATACTCACTAACAGAATTTAATCTCGCGCTGTAAAACGCGTTCACCGTCGTGCCCGCTGCTATCCATCGATTCTTATCCGGTTTCTCGCGCAATCTATTCAAACTTTTTTTGACCCATGCGTCGGTCAGTCTCAAAAACGTCTCGAATAGTTTCCCTGGCACGATCTCTGACTACGGTTAAGACGTCGTGTACAGCGCGTTTCCTCCATCGGATCAATATGATCTAACGATTAATCTATGTATAATGTCTTTCAGTAGCTCGCTCACCGACTCGTAATACTTGTCCAGCTTGTCGGAATCGGCGATCCATTCCGGAATCCCGACGAACGGTCTGATCGCGCGCAACTTATCGTGCGCTCGACGTTTCGTCGCGACGTCCATCCAGTCCAGCTCCGCGAGCATCTCGTCGAACGCGTCCCTCACGTCCATCAGCATCTCTAAACTCTGAAAACCGACGAATCTCGTGAAAGATCGCATCTCCGCGAAGCCGGCGATGCGGCCACGATTCTACCGACTTTTTCCCGAGACCGTTTGTCGAAGTACTTCTCCCCGTAAACGTAGCTCATCGCCATGCCGAAGTTCGCGTTCACGTTCTCGGCGCATTCCTTCCATCTGGCTCTCTTCTCCGTTAGCCCGAAAATATTTCGCAACGACTGGAAGCCCAGATCGCGGAATCGTTGCGACGTCAACGGAGCGATCGTCGAATAGATGCCCCACCACATGAAACGCGCTGTAATGCGATCAGCAACGATCAAAAACACGATCGATCGTACATCGATCGACGCGTAAAAATGGTAGTGGTACCTATGGTGGACGACGGCGTGGCCGCTAACAGTTTCGGCAGTTTCTGCAGATATTGTAAATCGATCACGATCGCGCGATCGCCGGTCGAGTTTATCGTCACGTTGGTGTTATCGAAGACAGCTTCTATGTATCTCGTCCAATTCCACTGTTAAGATGGGAAAAACCGGTTTATTCGCCGTTATCTAATTAGCAGATCGGAAACAGATCGATTCCTTGTTATAGAATCTTTGTCACCTGTTGCGCGTGTAGATCCGTGACCTGTTGCAGATCGTCGATGCTCAGTTCGTGAAACAGATAGGTCCCGCTTCGCTTCTCCTCCGACGTCGCCATTATCTATATACAAGAGCGAATCGAACGTGAAAGCACAAGAAAGACAATTGCCGGCTTGTACATACCATAGCGAGTTTCTTACTGAAATCTAAAATTTCGTTGGCGAACGCGGCGCTTTTGTTGCCCATGCCGGCCAGTTCGACCATGTTTCTCATGTATCTCTTGTACTCGTTCAATTCCGAGCGAACATGCTGCGGGTTCCGAAGGTAACGTTCGCTGATCTCTGGGAGCACCTGTGCCAGCTGAAACGAATCGGACGATGGAAACGTTGCGCGCACGTAGGGGAGGCTTTGGCCGCAGCAAATTCGCCCTAATTGACGCTCAGCTTGGAAACGAAAATGGACAATTTGGGAAGATTTATTAATCGGAAGATTTGGGGAGATATGTTATTAATTATTCCAGCTTTGCGGCTAGTTGTTATAGTTGTCGACAATTAGATTTTTCCTGCACAGGCTGAGCGTCAATTAGGAAGAATTCACTGTACTATTTGGCGGATTTTGTGAAAAAGCACGGTTCATCGCAAAACCGTTTAGAACCGAGAAAAAATTTAGGAACTATCCTAGGAGGCGATATAAACAATTTCACGTCGAGTTTTGTTTATAAATGCCACCGATCCAGAGACATATGTAACGTCGCATCTTGTAGACCTCCTCACCATCATCCTGTTCTTCGTTATATCCCGAACGTCCTCGCTCACGTAGAAATGAACGAACACGTTCAAGCCGAGGACTCTTTGCACCGTTCCTGCGAGTCCCGCGACGTCCACGGTCCAGTTGCTGGAGCGGGGCGGTGGAACTTTCGGTAGGCCCAGTCTGTCCAAGACATCGTGGACCGGCTTCAACCCCAAAGCTTCGATGCTCGCTGAAAACATCGGATTCGATCTAGCCGTTCTCCACCGATCTCGCCGGTTCATTCCCATCCCGTTAACAAAACATTCTTACTCGTGTCCATACAAGTTCTGTACAGCGTTCTGGCCATCTTGACCGATCTCGGGTCGCTTTCTTTATCCGGCCCCTCGAGCATCAGCCTCAGATGCTGGAGCAGCTGTTCCCTGAGAACGCTCATCTGGTCCCAGTCGGCCAGGCTCTGCGGTATAGGATTCTTCTGGATCCACCCGCCGCATGCGAAATGGTAAAAGTCGTCGCAGGGATCGACCGATCTGTTCATCGCCTCTATTATCCTGGTGGCTGTAACGGTGAACGGGAATACCCGATCGACGATTATCATTAATCGTCGCGTAGAGAGAGGCTGTTCGTTACGTAAACTATGGTTGAAAGTTGTAAACGAACGGGCGGACGCAAGGATGGCAGGAAGGAAGGAAGAAACGAAGGCACGGAGAGAACCTTGGATTAACCGACGGAACGGCGAGACACGGTACCTGTTTTGACGCATTCCGCGCTCTGGCATATCTCTTTGTAATAATCCTCTTTACGGAAAACGGCTACTTGCAAGGTCAGCGTTACGGTCAACGCGACCACGGCCACCATTAACAAGCCGACGATCATCATCAACTTCTTCTCCACGTTGCTCGGACCGTGCGACCTGTTCCGATCAGCGAGAAAGAATCATTGTAGAAGCGAATTCATGGGGTTCACGTCGAAAAGTAAGAACGGGCTACTCGATCGAGAAGGACGGATACTAAATGTTACCGATTACCACGAAAGCACTGGGTTGTTCCCTCTCGTTTCTCCCGGCTGCGTGACCCCGTCATGGTCCTCCGGATCGTTCACCTGGCAAAAACGAAAGCGTCCGTTAACGACGATCATCCTACGTTCGACTGATCTTCGACGCGATCGATCCGATCCGGACGAGTATCCGCCGACTGTCTGACGGAGTATACAAGGCCAACGTATTGTTACGAATTTCTGATCAAAATACCGTAGCTACGTTTCGAATTTTCCGGTGTTGTTCCGTACGAATAACTCTATCGTGAAAATTTGAAAAAAACTAATCCGTTGGGATAAGTCGGCAAGAATGTTTGCTCGCACAGCTTCTAAGATTCTATCGACGGTAATCGAATGTTAAGAAAAATGTATAAAGGCGCACACTATACCCCAGCATCGTAACTTCTTTCGTCGTCCAGAAAAACCGACGAGATCGACCCGAGACTGTAAATATGCACAGCAAATTCTCCCCGATTTTCCTTCGGCTTGTAAACAACAATTATTTCTTATTTTTATAGTCGTAGATTGTCGACAATTACAAAAAATAATAATAATAATAATAATATAATAATAATAATAATATAATAATAATAATAATATATAATATATATATAATATAATAATAATATAATAATATAAATAATAATAATAATATATAATATATATATAATATAATAATAATATAATAATATAAATAATAATAATAATAATAATCGTATCTTCTCTTCACAAAGCGTCGATTTTTGTTTACAAGCTGGAGGAAAATCCGGGAGATTTTTGCCGTATACCGATAGTTTGGCCGCGCTGAACGGGTTACAGAAGGCTGTTCACAATCGGCGCAAACAGCAACCGCGTGTATTCGTGGACTATTTTGAATGAGCAATCGTGCCGCTGCACGATGCGTCGTACAATTGCCAACATTGTGCTCCCCGCGTGGTAAAAACTGTGCGAATCACCGTGGCTCGCGGTTCTGCTCGCGGGTGTCTCGGAGAGGTTCGAATCTCTACGGTTCCACGGTTCAGCTGTAACATCTAAAAGCGATCCGGGGCAGCCGCGAAATCGATGAACGGGGGACAAAGTTCCGGTCATGCTCCATTTCCTACTGCGAACGAATCTCTGTCCGGCGCCGGTGGTCGCCGAGACGCATGGATCATCCATGGATGAATCGCGCTCCATCGTGCCAACCGGCGCGTTGCGCAATCAACCGATATATATCTACATGGCACGTATGTGCATAATGAAGTGCGAGCAACAACCAGTTATACAACAAAAGCGTCGACGCCGATGAGCCTCGTCGATGATCGCGATCGTTGCGCCGCGCCTCCTTATCTTGTTCGAGACGAGCTCGGGACGTTTACGTTCGAGCCGAGGTCGCAATGTAATCGAGATGAAATGAAAATCCTCCTGAGAAAATAACACGGAAAGAGTGAGAACGGATTTTTGCGTGCGCGGCTTCGTTCTCGGGAAAAACGAGTTCGAGTATTCATCCGGTATGTACAGTAAATTCTCCTTAATTTTTAGTTGATAAAAATGAACAATGTGGAGATGCGATTATTCGAGTCTTGCACCTTGTTTTTATAATCGTTGACAATCGGCGACTGTAAAAATGAGCCGCGCGGCTCGAATACAGTAAGTTCTCCCTGATTGACGCTCAGCTTGGAAACAAAAATGGACAATTTGGGAAGAGGAGGTACGATTATCCCTAAATTGTCCATTTTTTTTTGTACAAGCCGAGCGTCGATTAAGGAGAATTTACCGTAATCGTATCTCTCTAATCGGGGAAAGAATATTCGACGTTTCGTCGATGTTCTCTTTGAATATGTTCGAGTATCGTATCGTCTACTTCCTCTAACGTTAAAAAGATTTAATAAACCGTAGCCTTCGGCACAAGGAAAAATGTGTGAGAAAATACTGCACCGTTGAATAAAGGCAAATCGAAGATGAGTTTCGCAACGATACAATAGATTAGCAACGACGGCAGTGGAACAACAGTTCGGTACGATATTAAAACTTCTATGAAAAATGAAATTGGCGAATTGAACCGTTTTCGCTATCGTGTCGCCGCGCGGCGATCTCTTTGTTGCATCCTCGGCTCGTCGAGGGATCTAAGGTCGCGGCTTGTTATCCGAAAATCGCGATCGCGGTCGCGATCCTCGACCTCGAAGGAACTCCGGCTGGGAACAAACGAAGGCGTTGTTTCATTGTCGCGTTCGTGCGAGCTTATGTTTAATGCAAATCGGCGTGTCCCCGAGACGCGAACCGAGGTGGCGGAAAGAAAGCTCGACGGCCGGACGGAGGCAAAAGGATGCACTTATACGGCGGCGGGGACGAGATTATACTTCATCCCGATTACAATGTGTACGTATTTTCTTTCCACTTTCGATTCGCGACTCGACGCTGCATGCCCTAAGTTTACACAGTTGGTAGCCACGGGCGGAAAGTAAATCGAGAACGGATTCTCACCTTGTATTTCATCTTCTCGTCCCGTTCGCCTGTCCCGTTCCTCGGCGATCTTCGACCCGTCTGAAACAGAGAGACGCTTTAACGAAACACGTTGCGGATCGAGCAAGTTCGATCGAGGCGTTCCAGACCGAAGAGAATCGGGATTAACACGGCGATCAATTGTGAACGCGGCTGTTTCGGACGACCGTGGCCGAGGCATACTTTTTCGGTTGTTCCCGTTCGAACGCGCGCAAGGTCCGCTAGGTCGAATGAAACGTAACTGGCAATTACGTGCGAAACAACGACGACAGACCTGTTTTTCTCCGTGCGCCGATAATATCAGGAAATGCAAAACTTTGAAAAAAATGAGTAACTATTTGACCGGCGCGCATACGAGATACGGCATTAGAATAACATGGTTGCGCAGTCGCTTGGACATTTTCCAACAGTTTCGATGCGAAGACGGCCGGATTGATAACGATAGAGGACGACTTGCGAGGAATTAAGAAAAACGATATTGTCCATCAGAATTGACACGCGTCGCGATGCACGAGTTGCCGGTGCTCTTTCCCGCCCGATTATGCTTCGCTAACTTTTTTACAAAAAGAAAAAAAAGAAGAAAACAAACAAACTGATACGTAAGATCAAGCGCGAGTGCAAAAGATTCACCCGTATATTTTGGCCGTGCGGAATAAGAGAACATAAACTCGCGTATCAACCGAACCGCTCTCGATCGCTAGAAAGAGTGGTGTGTGTATATCGTTGCGCGCGGTTCGAAATAAGTTGCGGCTATTTTTACGAGATCCCATCGTTTCGGCGGGATGAAAGTTTGCCGCGATCAGAAGCGAGACTGTACCGTCGAGGATCCGCGAGAAACACGTGGTTGCGAGGCGGCGCGTTTATCGGTCGCAGATAGGGCGCGCGTTTTTCGGTGGCCGCTTCTCTTTGATCGTCTCGCTCTCATCGATCCATCGTTTCGGATTTTCAAACACGCTTTCCGTGCCGCGTAGATCCCGCGCGCACGTAACTCACCCGGCTCTCGATGTCACCAGGTTTCTGAACGCTGCTAAAAGCGCATCGTTCCTCTTCATTCGCCGTCAAAGTTCCTCCCCGAAGTTCTGACAAGGAATCCGACACGGAACTGATAGTAAACGAAACTGATGTTTGGTCTCGCGGACCGAACAACGTAATTTAATCTTCGAATCCCCTACCACTTCCGCGCCACGATACCATCTCCCTCCCCTGCGTCGTCGAACGATTCTTCTTTCTTCCGATGCTCGCGAACCGTTCCTTTCTGCACAGACTTTCCTCGCGCAACCCTGAGGAGACAAGCCGCCGAGATGACAACGATCGCGGAGCGATTCCGGTGCTAGAACCGCTCGCGAGGAGCTCCCGCGCGCATCGCACGATCGTCGAATATCGTCGGGGTTCGTTGGTCTCTTCGGCCTGGCGTGCTTTAAAAAGCTCCGGGATTCATAAGTTGTCCACGCGCCATCGGCGCGATTCCCGCTGGGAGAGAACTTTCGTAGTTCGCGCTAATGTCCCCTCGCTTGAGACGTGAGACGACGCCGACGTCCTAGCTTTGCTGCGGCCGTGCACGGACTTTGTCGTGAATCGTAATAGCGATCGGCTGCTTGATCGGTAGATACATATCATTTATTATTCGCCAGCTAAACGTGAACAAGCACGCTCGCGGATATATGATTTTGGTTTACTTTAGCGCAAAGACGAGGTCGCGCCCCTGCCTCTATCTTTGTCTCTCCCACTGCTTCCGTGCTTCCATCTTCTCCGCCTGTACCTCCTAAAAGAAGTTGAAAAATATTAACAAAAATCTTTGGATAAACATATTTTAACGAATATCCTAAAAATGGCATAATAAGTAAAAAATGTTTAGGGCACCTTTTTACCCATTTAATACAGATCTTGCACCGATACCAGTTTTCATTGCTTTGTAAGTATGCTTTTTTACAAACTGGACAATAGTCATTATCCTTTTCTCCTCTTCTTGCATTGCAAGTAGCAATAGTTTTCCTATCTGATCCAGATCCTACAATATTTATCGGATCTATGCTTCTATTCTTCGAGAGCGATACTTTCTCCGTGATCTCCTTCTTCATTCTTTATCGTGGATTCTTCAAACAAAATTTGTTTTCTATAACAATGGCTGTATTCTCGCGAACCACGACGAAATCAACGATGTCGGTTTGATATTAGATCGTACGATACGAGGAAGTTGATGTCACAGCTTTACAAAATATTTGTATCTTTCGGTTGCTTCTGAATCAAAAAGGCGTGTCCCTATGTAAATACGTATGAAGATAACCGGCATTCCCGCAGAAACTGACCCGAATTTCATGGGCACAAGTATCGGACGATGTCTTAAAAATTGTTGCCGTTGAAATTTCGAACATAATCTCTTTTTCAATTTCATAGTAAAAGAGAACCAAAATCGTGCTCGTCGTCTGCGCGCATGCAACTTACAAGTTTTACACAGAGTTTCTGCTTCCCGATGGAAGATTCACGAAAATTACCTACTTCTGGAGCCTTGATAAGTGAATAATACCTCTTTCAAGCTGTTTGTAGACGCAATAGTAACCGCCGGCGGGTAAGAGTGTTAAGGTCACGCTCGCATAATTACGGGGGCAATATTTTCCGGTCACGGACTTGATTGCACGGTAATGGGTCCTATTCCTGCCCAATTTTCGTGCTCTTTAAAGCTGGCTTGCACATCCCCACCATTTTACTGCGCATCCAGCTTCGCGCAAGTACTATAGAAAGGAAACGAGACACGATGGAGAGAAACGGAACGATACCCATCAGATTCTACGTGTATTATGCACACGGGCGGGAAATCTGGCTCGTTTGCTTTGCCGTGCTTGCGGCTTCACTCTTTCCGCGCGTTCGTTCGATTGGCGCGCCATCTGAGGCACGCGTCGTGAAAGTCTATTTGTAAGAGAGAGAGAGAGAGAGAGACAAGGTACATCGTTCGTCCGTGTGACTTCTTCCACATGTAGTTGCGCCGATTTCATGCTCTCTTGCTCACTCGCTGTTTTCCCCCCTTTTTCTTTGACTGTGAAGGCGGCCAATCAGAGCAAAGAAAATTTCTGTAATGACCCTCGCTAATGGGTCGAGCTGCGGCCTGGAGATGTGCGGGAGTGGAGGACCTATTACTGTATGTATGTAGTCGTACGTAGGCGCACTTATTGTACAGGGGAGAAACATTGCTGTGAAATTACGTATTTTGGAAAGTTCGAACTATTCAACTGGTACACAACCATCTCGGATCGCCGGTGTTCATTAACCACAGCAGTAGATGGATATGAAATGAAATAATTGGTTCGACATACATTTCTCGTAGAAGGTGATCGCAGCGAGGACATCTGCGTGAATTGCAAGGCAAATCGTCTCCGTTTTGGTTAATGCTAACATCCTTTTTGGTTGTAACAATGATGTCTCGTTTAAGACCATATCGTCCTCGATCTCGTTTCGTTCTCGAATTCGACTCGTAATCGCGATATTGTCTCAATCTCCTTTTTCGTACCGCGTCGCCGAATAGGGGAGGGGACCGGGTGAAAGCTCCGGGGCAGAAAATTCGCGACTACTTTATTAAAAATGTAAAATATAGTAGTCCAGGTACAAAGATGAAATGGTACAAAGTATACGATTCGAGCACATTACCAGTACAAAAGCACCCGGCTAGGGCGTCGTATCGAGCCTGGATCCGAGATAATCGGCTTCACGCGTCGTCCACGTGGTATCTACAATAGGCGGAGTCCTTGATCAGCTTCTCGGGGATCAGTTCCTCGATCGGAGATTGATGCGACACTGTGGCAGCGTAGCTTTCTGCTTCCTTCAACACCCTTAAAAGATTTCCGCCGACGAATTTCTTGATGTCCGACGCTGACCATCTTCGATCCCGCGTTAATTCAGCCAGCAACAGAGGATAACCGGAAACGTCCGGCAGTTCGATCGGCGGACTAAATAAAGGCGAACGAAGCGAGGCATCGTTTATTAACGTCCGACAGTACGCGTTGCAACATTGACCGAGACAAAGTGCTCGTTCGATGAGATAGTCGGAACGTTTAAATAGCTCGCTAACCTTAATATACCGTCGTAACCGGCCCCCAGACCCACGTGGTTCACGCCAGCGATTCGCCGGATATGATTGATGTGAGCTGGAAGGCAAGCAAGCATAGGGGTCGTCCGTTTCTAGGTACGTGAAAGAGATTTCTCGAAATTATTTTAACGTATCGCCGCGCTCATACCTATCACGTCGTACATGGTGGCCTTATCACCGCAGCTTAAATGCGCGCTGTCGAAGCTGACCATAACCAGGCCGCCGTTCACCGACTGAAACAGAGATGAGAACAATGATTCCGAACCGCGACGACTCGTTGAAAACCGCCGAGCGTGTTACGCGCGAACGACGAGGAAACGCAACCAAAAGCGAATTCGCGCGGTGGAAAGTATACGATTCGTTTCGCCGATGATTCCTCCTTCTCACCAAGTTACGGAGCACATCATCCGGAACGTTGCTGGATGAATTACAAAGCGCTTTAGCAGCACTGTGAGAAAATATCACCGGCGCCTTCGTTATCATCAAGGCGTCCCTCATGGTTCTGATCGAGACATGGGACAGATCCACCAGCATTCCTAAACGATTCAATTCCTTCACGACCGCCTTGCCGAACAATGACAGTCCGTTACTGTGAAAATCCATCGGCGCTATGGAACTAGGTTCCTCTACCGTACACGAATCCGCCCTGAAAATACGATTATTAGCCAGCCTTTCTCTTTCTCCTCCGCCCTTCTTCTAGCGAAATGAACTTACCAAGGTGTGTTGCACTTGTGCGTTAAAGTCATATACCTTGCCCCGAGTCGCTGAAAACTCCTTAATACCGCCATTGAGGTGCCAATACTGTGGCCACCCTCGATTCCTACCAAGCTCCCCATCACACCGTCCTTGTGAGCTTTCTCCAACTCTTTGCTGCTCGTAACCAGCCTCATTCGTCGGGGATACCTGGCCGCCAATCTACGTACCGCGTCGATTTGCTCCAAGGTGAGTTGAACAGCGTCAAGGAATTGTGCCTCGCAGGGTACATAAACCGACCAAAATTGACCACCGACGATACCTTCGCGCAATCGCACCAGATCCGTCTGCCACTGAGAACCCCAGCTTTCGTTTCGCGACAAATCCTCGTTGAACGGAAAGTCTTGCAACTTCATGCTTCCTTGATGCTTCCGAAGATTCCATGCGAAATCATTGTGCCTGAAAAGTTGTCTTTTTAATCGATCATTTCATGCGCGCAAGAACCCGGGAACAGTCGGATCAGGTTCCCGAAACGCATATATTATCGAGCAAGATAGATCGTTTTGTTTGTTGGCAGACATATTGCACTTTTCCAGTGAGGACAAATGCGTCTATTAAATGAGAGGGTTAAAGTCATAGTGGTGTAAATAGTCTTTATAAAATAAGTTATAACTTAACTATAAATTTGGTTAGCAAACAATATTCTTGTAAGTAAGCAATCTCATTCCTTGTTTCTCATAATGAGGAAGACATACACCACAATAACTCTGACCCCTTCAAATGGACACTGCCGTATTCTGCGGTATTCTGCGATTACCCGTCAACCAGAGGAATTTCGGAAAGCATTCGTCGCACCACTTGAAGTCTAGCTTCCAATAGGTGTGAACTTCGTAGTTCCAAAGCTAACGGTAATCCTACACCAGCAACCAGGGCGCATCCGAGGAAGAAAAAACCTGCCATCACTATCCATCTCCTCAGCATACTCTGTCCTGCAATTAATTAATCAATTTATTTTCATTGATTAACAATTTTAGAATAAGCGTTTGTAAGCAATACAAATTTGTCTTGATTGATCGTAAATACCGTTACCAAAATTGTTTCCATTCATCGGAACGTGTTTTGTAATGTATTTCGCCAAAGTATAAATGAAAAGTAAACCAAGGAGGTAATTTACGATATTTAGCGGCTACTGTGTCTCATAGTCGGTTACATCTAATAATTTGTAAGAGAGACGCATACCACGTTCTCTCGGCGGATCTTTGTCTTTGTCCAAGGAAGTGGAGACACCCGGATCCTTTGCATGATGCAGCGCATCACCGTTAGGCAATTTCCTCATCAACTCCGGCGACGATAGCTGCAGGCAAGTCTGCAAACACATTATTTCACGTTTAAGAAAACGAACCGGCTTGTACAGAATACACAATACGGAACGCAAATTTTATTCATTCTACACGGCAACGGTGCATTGTTTATGCGACAAAAATAGGAAAACACACTTCCCAGTGTTAACGAACCTTGCAAACGCGTCTGGAAATAATTCGTTGAGATTGATTGATTATAATTGGATTTTAAAAATTTGTAATTTATAAACTTTACTTTCAATAATTGTTGTCTGCTTGACGTGTACGGGACGAAGTTATTTTTTATCAACATTAGAACTATCAGTTGGGCCGAAGTGATCTATTTCAGATTTTTTTTCACAATAACTGAAAACATACAAATATTTTTACAAGGAAGTATTAAGTAAATTCATTTATCAAGAAATGTATTCTTAAAATTTTTATAAAAAATTCAAACCGAATCACATACTTCTTAGGCATTCTGGTGTTAACAAACAATTAAACGTTAATATGGCTTACCTCTAGTATATCGACTTCTTTTCTTCTCGGAGGTGGTGGCCGGTAAACCATACCATCCTTATTAACTCCATACAGTTCAAACATATTTCCTTATTTTTGGCAACTCAATGTTACTTTGGCGAAAACCGTTCCTTGGGACCAGTAAATACTGAAGGGAGCGTCTCGTTTCGTTGGACATGAGCGCATGCGCCAACTCTCGTATCGACCCGATATTGGGCGACCGATAAAGCTCTTTTAAATCCTCGAAGTTTCGTCCAATCGCCAAGATCTTAGAGAAATCGGCGGGTCAAATAAGTAAGAGTACACGTGAGCTTGTTATACTCGCCTATCGTGTATCAAATATTCCTGTTAATTGATCGTTATCATTAATAGCAGAATGAATAAATCTCTACAGAGTTTTCATAAGCGTAACCACTTTTCACCTTATTATTTTATTCGATATTTCGAGCATGCTTTTTCGAGCTTCACGTAACGGTTTAAATAACGATTAAAACTTAAATCACTTCGAAATTATAGCACGAGGTGAACGTGCCGTTACTCACACACGACACTTCGGCAATTTCTGTCTCTCATTTGAAACAGAGGTGAATCCCGCGCTAATAGAAACGCGTAGGAAGCTACAAGACACGCGTCGCTTCCGGCCTGCGCAGGAGGATATGCGCGATAGTCAATTCCTGCCGCCGTACACCGCCATATTGTTTGCGGTAGTTCCGTGCTAGTTGGTCGATTTGTACGTGGTCTCGTGACTGTTTCTATCGTTCAGTGAGTTCCCTCGGGAAACTTTGCAAACATTTCGCGTAAAAGCAACATGAAGAAGACCAAGGACGTGTCGGACGAAGACGAATATTCTGCAGACGATCCAGAAGAAATGGAGGGGGCCTCTGAAGAAGAGTGGACTCCTGAGCCAGGAGTCGAGGTAAGCCCACGCTATCGCTTTGCTTCCCTTATTCTTATGTATCTTCAACATTTCTCCCTTTGTTTCTTTGCCGATTATAATCGTTTACTTTCTAATAGGACTCGCAATCCGGATACGACCTCGAGCAAAAACATTCATACGCCATTATTCACGAGTAAAGATCTGTCAATCAGAATCTCGATTTGATCCGCGACTTTTTGGAGAAAGTAACGGAAATATTTTCATCGTTTTCCGAAGTTAATTTAACAATCTCATTCAAATGGTTTCCCATTCTCTGTTTATATTACGCAGCTGACCATGTTATTGTCAGATGCAAATCGTTTTTCATTAATCTTCTCAAATATGAATTGGCTGTGTTAACAGCGCCGTCGAACCCGTGACAAACACGCTACTCAGTGCATCGCGTACATTCCCGAAAGTTTTATCTATTTAGCAAATAATTTAGCTCGATCTATCGTGAATACATGGAAGTTATCGGTGATTCAAGATTCAAGGGCAAAGATTATGCTGAAATGAAGCATTTTTCTATGCAAATTAATTTTTGTCGATCATAAATGTGAAGTCGCGTCTGTTGTCGCTACTGCCGCGAATTATCGTTGCCGGCCGGTCACTCGGTGGCGCCGGCCAATGAATTCTTCAAAACAGTACGACCACTACCTGTGCATTGTATGCATGCATGCATGCGTGCGTGCGCCGCGAGTGATTGTTTTATGTGTGTATTTTACAGTTTCTCTGCGATTTTGCAATCGATTTTCTAAATTCAGGTAAAGTCATAATTAGGGGTAAAAACCTGCAAGATACATTTCATGAAACAATAATATTTTTCTTACGGTCACTGTGCACGGTAGTCTTCTCGAAAATGATTATTTTAAACATATCCGTGTCAATTGTACTGTTGATAATTTTCATTTTTAAATATTGAAACAATGTATTTCAATTAATGTTATTCAGAGTGGTACTAAAAAGAGGCCTCAGAGGGAAGCTGCCAAAAAGCGGCAACATTCCGAAGAAGAAGAGGATGAAGAAGAAGAAGAGGATGAGGAAGAAGATGACGAAGAGGACGACGAATCTGATTCTGACACAGGAAAGAAACCTAAAAAGAAAAGACGATCCAAGAAAGAAGAAGATGAAGACGAAGAGGATTCTGATGACAACAGCTTCAATGAGTCATCCGGAGAAACACCAAAAGACTTTACTGTATGTTCATACATAAGTTGCTTAATTAATAGAGAGGAAACATTGTTTTTATTGTTCATTTTGGTTTCTATAGTCTGGTGCATTTGTTGTCGCAAAAGCAGACATTGGCGGAAGCACGGAACCAACGTTATGGAGGATAGATGGAAAAGCGTTATTACAAAAGTTTTTACCTTTTAAAGAAGAAGGGAAGACATTGTACAAAAGCACATCGACTGTAAGTTTTATACATCTAATGATTGCTATTAAACTTGTCACTAGATCTTCAACCTTTGATTTATTACAGTATTCAGGATGGTCGGTGAATAACAAAGATAAATACTTGGCAGCACAAGTAACTTTCAAAGTTCAAAGTAGAACAGAAACAATTGTTGAACTTCATCTTGATCAGCAACAGCAAGAAGTTGTAAAGTAAGTTCTAAAATTTAATTATATATGCTCTATAATTTTATTGAAATCATAATGGAAGTTGTTCATTTTTTCCTTTCTTTTCAGAGAAGAAAAAGAAGACTAAATATAAGATCAAAATTGATCTTATTTGTTTATATACATTTTAAGGTATGCTAAGAAAGAATACATCTACATTCACATGTACACAATAAACACTACACAAGCATATTACGAATACACATAGATGCAGTTTACAAAATGATATTCTAGCA